GCGAATTGAGATATTTTCGCCCCTGCGCGCGCAGCCAACAAACTCGGCGGCTACTAAGTAGTCGGCGACATAGTTATCGCCGGCAGGTACATATATATGTATATATATATGTATATATACATATATACGAGGAAAGCTGGTCTCTCTCGCGAGAGACCTCACAATAATTTACGGGTAAGAGAGAGGATTGCGCGCGTCACGGACATTCCGCCTGTCGACTTCAAACCGCATCGGATTATGACGTCAGCAAAGAAGAGAAGAGATTTACGCCGACGCGCGTTGTGTGTTTTCTTCGGCGTTTTATGTAAATCATCGACTATCGTCGGCGCGAGAAGGACTCTCTTTCTTTTCCCTCTTTGACTTCATTGAAACGCGCTCGCGCGAAGTGCGCGACAGTCACGTTGAGTGCGTAAAACGCTCGTAAACAAAGATCAGCAGCTGTCGAAACGCCGTCCGAGCGTGAAATAAATTCCGGATAGCGCGATTGCGTCTTTATGTTTCCATAATGTGTCATACGTCTGTGAACCCTCGTAATCTCCCTTTTGACTCAATGACCAGAAATAAGTGGATTTATATACGCGAATTGTGTGTATTTTGCACGCCCGTGTGTGCGCGTGTGCAAATGTGCGGATTTATCAGCAGCAACGTTGCTCGTTCGAATTACGAGAGGAGTTGCGAAGAGAGAGAGAGAGAGAGATTTGATTGATTGATGCTTTATTTTTTAGGCGCTCTTGGATAGGTCCTCTCAAGCGCAACTTAACAAACATAAAATAACTACAAACTTAATAAAAAATAAAAAATAAAAGTATATACAATAAAATAAAAATAAGAAAAATGAGAGAGGGTATGAGAAATAGATGAATATAAAATATAACATGACATTAAGAATAAAATATGAAAAATAATATGCTGAATATAAAAATTAAGAAATAAGACTAATGTGCCATATGGTGTAACAAAAACTCATAAAATCTGCTTCTGAAGGAAGAATACTGTTCGAGAAAGAGAGAGAGAGAGAGAGAAAGAAAGAAAGAAACGGGGGAGAGAAATGCAGGAATAATTCAACGATTCTCCAGGGCGACGCCCACGCGAGATAACGTCTCGAGGATATCGCGATCCCGTCTTTCCTGTAAAATGGCCTCATAAAACGCGCGGGTGGAACACAAGAAAAATACATACGATAACTCATACGTGATGATGCGCGCGGGATAAAATGTGATTTCCACATTTTTCCATTGTGATGATGCGACGAGTCTCCCAACAACGTAAAAACAATTTCTTTGAATAATCACGTCTTTTCGAAAAACAAAAAATCTTTCCGCGCGTCTTCCGCTTCGGCGCGGTGAGTCGTTTTACGCGAACGCGAGTTTCGAAAATCCGCTCGCCTTGAAAATCCCCCTTCGTTGCTGCTGCTGACCTGCTCGTAATCCGAGGCGGCGTAGGTACCCACGTCTGACATTTCTGAACAATAGAACGCGCGAGGGTGAAGATTGGCAAAACAAAAAAAACAAAAAAAAATCGAACGTTACGTAAATTCGAAGATGTCGACGTTTTGTTTTTCAAAAAACCGTGCTTGTGAAGAAAAAAATGGACGTTTTCGTTGCATCGAGACGCATCTCTGCGAAAACTTCTGTGAAAAGTCGAGGAAACTTTTGGATTGGTGCGCGCGGAAAAATCCATTCGTAGAATTATTTTTTTTAAAGAAGACTCTGTTTTTGTTTTCTTTTTCCAAAGCTAGTTAAATATAACTGGCGGTATTTAATAAAGAAAGTCAAAGGGAGAAAAAATAAATCTACTCAAAACTGCCGGCAGAAAGACTTGCCTTTTTTTTTTGCTTATCAAAGAACGCGCGTTCGCGTCTTTAGCAACAACTCGGCTCCGGACTTACTTCTCGAGAGAATCACTTTGAACGTAAACTAATGTGATTAAACTCACCCAACGACTCAAAGCTCAACGATTCGTCAAAGCCATCCGCATTATTCCGTTATTTTATTTGAAAACAAAAAAAAAAAGATAGAATCCGTTGGAATAAAAGAGCGATACGCTTGTTCGCGGGCAATCTCTTTTGCGAAATCTCCTCGCTTTGTTTCTTTTGTTTTTAACGGAACAAACTGAGGAAGAGATTTCATCGGACTATGTGTATCGGATTGTCTTTAATTAACGGTTTCACGTTTGAGTTTTCGTTCGATGTTTAAGCTAAATCAACACTTAGTTTACCAGTAGTTTAATTGCAAAGTTGATCAACTCAGGTGAACGGGCGATGCTTTCGCGAAGACTGTCGTGAATTTGTTAAGAAAGTAGTCCAACTTACGTTAACTTGCACGGCAAAGTCTTCATCTTGCGATACGTCGTTGACGTCGAACTGGTTTTTTGCAAAAAAAAAAGGAAAAAAAAAAAGAAAACTTGAACGTTATCTTTTGTTATTATTATCGTCACCGATTTGAACAGACGCGCTTCTTCATGCAAATAAACGTGATTACATGTGTAATAATTACGTGCGCGTCCGGCGGACGAAAACGGCGGACACTTGAAATATTTGAGCACTGATTGATGCATATTTAATAAGTAGTTCCAACTAGTGGTAATGAACGTGAATTAATGAAATTTCTGCTCGAGAGATATGCGATACTCTGTAATTTTGCATACGTATGGAGTGTATAATTACATTTGTGCGTGCGCACAAAAGGACATTATAATGACTGTTACAAAATAATGGCCACAAAAGCGCCAAAGTGCTAGTAACATCGGAAAGTGCATCAAGGACGTCGTGGGTATATTGTTGTTATCGCGTATGATTTTTTTTTTTTTTTTTCATGTAAATGTTTCCCATAACCTCGTTACTCCCCGAGCGTGTGTTATTAGAGAAATGTTTTTTTTTGCTGCGTGATTATGACGTTTGTTGTTTTGCTCCTTCGTTTTCGGAATCAAGACGAAAAGGAGAGATAACCCGAAATATTTCAACCGGTCGCTATTATATTGAAAGTCGAACAATTTAAATTGCAAATTGCGAGAGGTGAGCGAACCAAAAAAAAAAAAAGAAAAGAAAAGAATAAAAAAAAACCAAACACAACGAGAACTTCTATATATACACCGAGCGTATTTCAATTGTGCCTAACAACATTGTATTAATTTGTAAACTAGTTTAGACAGTGTTGTTTTTTTTTTTTGTACCGCCTTAATTAGCGGATACGTCGAACGTCTTTTGAGAGCGTTCCTAGATGCTAATTTTCTCAATGATCCGAACGCAACGATGCGTTCGGAACATGTTACTTGAGAGCCGCTTTGAAATTGAAAATAGAAAACGTTATCAGTCGATGCGATTCAAAACTTGTTCGTTCGTGTTCAGGTTCATGAATTTGAACTATTCGTCGTTACGTGAATTTCCGAGCGCTTTCGATTTTTTATTCCAAACATATTAAGAGACGCTGAAATAAATAAATATACATATACGCATATGTATATATGTATATATCCGCAACGGAGTAAAACGAAATAAAAAATCGTGATAGCGAAAACAAAATTAATGTTGTAGCGAGATGACGCTACTTTTTGCGTATCTCTCATTTTCTTTAGCGAGCAAATTAAAGTTGCATTAACACACACCCGAAACGTTTCGAATTCGTCGAAATGACTGGGATTTCTTATTTCAAATTACAAAAATGATTGAAATGCTTTTGTCCGAACACGTTGATTTTGACAAGAAACGTTAAATAAAACTCTGTAGCCGAAAGCTCCGGTTTGTTAATTAATTACTTAAATATTAAAGGAAATTTAAAACTTGTCAGATATAAAACGTTTTTCACAAGCTTGTCAAATTGACGAGTGCGTTGGAACAAAGCGCGCATTTCAACTCGAATTATTCTCTGACGTTTCAAACAGCAGCGTGTCTCACAATTTTCGTTGACAAGATAGAAGGCTTAAAAAAAAACAGAATAGTTTATATTCTCGCGAAGAAACTGCTGGCGAAGACATTTTCAGTTGTCAGAGACGACGACGACGACGACGACGACGTTGCCCCGCATGCACGATTTTCGCACGACGAATCTCTCGCGGATCCCGGGAGAATTTCGCGGGAGTCTTGCAAGCCTCCCGGACGCGAAGTGCGATCGATCGTCGCACGGAGCGGCGCGGAGACGAGAGCCTGCACCGAGCGATATATAACTCTGAAAATTGTTTTTTTTTCTTCTTCTTCTTGTTCTCCTTTTTCGCGGTAAAGAACTCGGCCACGCTTCGAAGTTGCGCAGGTACAACGCGCGCAAACGAGCGGGAATAATAGTTTTTCCCCACTTATTATTAGTTCGTGTTTTATTTGTCCGGAGTGGATTGTAACGTAAACCTCTCGAGTCTTCGCAGAAATTAACGCGCGCGCGCTCGCGGCAGAAGCTTTTAACAAGAGGAAGACCTTAATCAAGCGTTCTACTTCGGATTTAACGAACTCCGTCGTCAAGTTTGAAAACAGGATTGTTTTTATACATCTTCTCGTCGGAACACGGGCGCGTGTTCCGTTACCTAATCGGCCTTCTTTCATCCGCTAATCTTCTTAGAAGAAATTAGACGCGGGAGAAACTTGCGCGTTGCGCCACCGTTCCCGGATAAGGTACACTATCGGGATGTCTAAGGGTATTTAACTCCGACACATAGCAGAGGGATCCGAAGGGGGATTCAAAGAGGTCAATTACTGAGATAATTCGCAATTATAGTTCGTTTATCCGATTCTACAGGTCTCTCCTTCATGATGTATAATAATTTTTTTTTTATATATGTGTGTGTGTGTGTATATATATGTATATATATATATATATATATATATATTGTATGTTGTCTTCTTAATTTTCTCACTAATTATTCTTCAATTACTTCTGTCTAATTATTTTAATTGTTTCTTTCAAATTGCGAGATAAACCAACGCAATGAAACAGAGAGAGTCGTTGCGCGATTTAATTAACTCAAGTTGTCTCTTCGCAAAAATTAAACGAAAACATTTATGATTTTTTTTCCAGTTTTAATCCCAGTCTCCGAAAAGTCCGAAAAGAGAGTTTTTTGGAACACATTTGGACACGGGAGACTTTTGTTTTTTTTTTCTTTTTTTTTGTTTTTTTTTTCACGGACGGGCGAGGAGAACGGGAAGGAGACGAAAAACTCTCTCTCTCTCTCTCTCTCTCTCTCGTCGCGGGGTCGACTATCAATCGTCGATCAATCAAAAACGACGAACGTAAGGCGGGGGAACGGACACGTGGGGGATTATAAGTCGGGAACGTTGTACGGGTGGCCCCGAGCGCGCGGTGTTCAATGAGACAAGGAGATGAAGACGAGGAAGTCGCTGCTGCCGTTCGTTCTGTGTGTTACGGTGGTGGGCCTGGCGCTTTGCCAGGAGAAAAAATGGTCGAAATCGACCGCGAAGCACCGGGATAAAAGCGCTAAGGGCAAGTACGATCCTGATTACACGGACAGGTTCGAGGATTTCTACAAACGAAACTCGGCGGTCATCGATTACCAAACTCTCGGTTCGAACAGTCCGACATCCTACAGAAACAACAGGGCCATTTCTCAATCCAGGTACGGCATAAAGTTTCAAATATACATACGCGCTTTAAGATTTTACATTTAATTGTTTTTTAATTTCAAAACAACTTTAATAAATGTCATTTGCATTTTTTTCGCATATATCACTTAAGAGATTATTATTCAACAAACCGGTAACCAATCGATTTGATATACGACTTTTATTTATTTATTTATTTTTTTTTTTTATCTCTTGTGACCGATCGGACATTCGCAGAATCTTGCATACTTGTGCAAAATTTATTTTAATCGTTGTTTAATGTCTTTATGTTGTTGCTATAATTTTTTTTTTTATTTACATATCTCTTGAAGAAACGCGTTAAACACGGAAACTTCGGTTGAACAAGTTATTTTACTAATAATATCTCTCTTTTTTATTTTACATTCGAAGCGAGCTCGATATTTTTTTTGGATTGCGAAACGCGACTAGGAAACTTTTGCGATCGCTCAGGTGTTATCAGCAAATTCTTTCTCGTAACAGGAGAGCGTACGTACGTGATACGCCGACTGCAAGTTTTCGATACGCTTCGCGCGCGCGCGCGCGTGCGTAAATTGACGATACCTTCTCGGGTAAAGATTTTCAAGTGGATCGTTTTAAATAATTAAAACGCCGGCGAGACACTTTGACGTTTATTGGAGTGGAATAAATTTTAACAGTGCGGTTTTTTTTCCTCTCATTTGCCTATTTATTTTCTTTAACAATTAATTTCGCCGGATCGGTTATTTCGAGAGTATCATCGAAATGTCCGGACCCTCGTGCGCGCTTGTTGAAATTGAAATTCTCGTCTCTTTGATCTCTCTCCCTCTCTTAACATTTATTAGCAGATATGCACGCTCTTCTAATTTCGTCAGACGAACAATCGACGATATCGCGCACAAAAGGATCGTCCTTTAAACGCCGTTATAATTCCTTTTACTCTCGCGAATTGTAATTTTAGTTCGAATTTTTTTTTTTTTTTTATTAAAAGATCGCTTCAACGTTTTACGAACTTTAACGTATATGTTAGTTTTTTTTTTTTTTAATTATTAAACATCAAGGTTATAAATCAAGTTTTTTTTTTTTTAATTAAAAAGTATGTTTTGACAAAGTTTTTCGATAAAAGCTGCTTCGCGAAACATCAATGAGAATTGATAAATAATTCAAGAGCGTAGTAAAATTTTAAAAGTTCAGTATTTGCACAAACATGAAATGTCAATCTTCGATGATGCGCTCAAAGAGAGACGGACGTATAATATAGGATCGCTTTGAGAGGATTTCATCGTTACGTGTGTATGTGTTTGTTAAGAGAGAGAATCGTTTCGAGAGGAGATTCCCCATCGATACGTCGTTTATCGATCGTTCGACAAAAAAAAAAAAAAAACAAAAAAAAAATCACCATGATTCCCGACCAGTCAGCGAGAGAGAACACCGTTGTTTCAGACCGATGGACGTCGATGAATTGAAGGGCAATCAGCACTCTAGTCAATCGTCGAATCTGCCGAAGTCGCACGCGAAATCGACGGTGCGGGAGAAGGAACGCATAAAGAACACGACTATCGGGGACGGTATTTGTCAGAGCGCCGACATCAGGAACAACGTTCAATCTTTCTTTGATGTGAATCTGAACGATTGTCGCGTGATCGAGGGTTTTCTCCAAATTGTGCTTATCGAGAACAACACCGAGGCGGATTTCGAGAACGTTAGCTTCCCGGAACTGAGAGAGATCACCGGTTACTTCCTCTTGTATCGCGTCGACGGTTTGAAGAGCCTCAGCAAACTTTTTCCGAATCTCGCGGTCATCAGAGGCGACATACTTCTCACCGACTACGCCTTCATGATTTACGAGATGAAGAGCCTGCAGGAAGTAAGACTCCAGAATTTCACGCTCAAGTTCTTCTCTCTCCGCTCTGTCTTTTTATTCTCTTTTCTTTTGATTTTTCGTACGAAGATAAACGTCCCAGTGACCGAACATTTGTTAAAGAAATAATTGCAACAAATTTATTTACGCGCGTGAAGTTTTACGAAACTAAAATATTTTAAAAATGTAAAAAAATATCAAAAAGAAAATTTATATTTGAGATATAAAAAATTGTTTAATATTTACATAATTATTTCTCCAATGAATGTCACCGGGACGGTTATCTCGCTAACGAGATTGTTGCCAAGATTTGGTTCGAAGTGGGAATGTTTTTTTTTTTCTTTTTTTTTTGTCGATTTCAATACCGACGCGTTTGAGAGAAACAACGTTGAAAGGCTCTTTCGCGAACGTTTAAGAAAAAGCAGCTTTTTTCAGTTCGCGCAGTAGGACGTGTGTCACGAACAAAAAATGAATCGCACGTCATGTGTCACGTACGATATTCATAACACGATCATTTGATTCCCACGCCGAATCAAGTCCAGTTAATTCGAAAGTGTTTGAATGTGTCCGGTCTGTGTATGCGAGACTTTTTGGTCAAACGCCCGGGGTGAAGTGACATTAATCAGTCAATCAAATTAACCGGCCGTTCGACCTTTGAACGCTTTTAATTCCTCGAATCTAATACTGCGAAACTGTTTCTCACACACACGCTTAGATCGGTCTCACGAGTCTGACCAAGATATCCCGTGGTGGCGTGCGCATCGAGAAGAATCCCAATCTCTGCTTCACCAATACCGTGAATTGGAACGCCATTGTGCTGGCCGGCGAGAACTTCATCAAAGACAATAAGAACGAACAGGATTGCCCGCACGTAAAAGGTGAAAGAAATCGTAAACGCTGCTTGATATTTGTTTTTTTTTTTTTTTTTTTTTTTTTTTTTTGTTTATGATAGAGGAAGGGAGAGATTGATTAAGTTAATCGCTACGTGGAAATGTTTTCGATGATTGCTCCAGGATGTTCCCAGTGTCCCGACGGTTATTGCTGGACCGCGCAACGTTGTCAGAACCTGGAAAAACCGAGGTGTCACCAACAGTGTCTCGGGGAGTGTTACGGTCCGAGCGACAGCGAGTGTTACGTGTGCAAATACTATCGACACGAGGGGAAATGCATCGAAACGTGTCCGGACCATTTGTAAGTATAATCGTTGTTTGCGGTAGAATGCACAAACTTTTGCGCTCGTTGATGAAACTACTTCGTCAATTTCGAAATCTCGTCGTTCGATGTTAAATATACAATCCTTGACGATGAAGAGATACTCGAACTTGAACATATCCCGTTCGTGTTATGAAGTAATAATTCTCGAAAATAAGCACAGAGCTTTTTCGAGAAAGAGATAAAGAATTGTGAATAAACGTTTGTTAAGATAAATTTGCTTCGAATCTATCTTCGCAAAATATTTGTACGCGAAGAAACAAAGATTGCGGCGCTATCTCATACATTATATATTTTAGACGCTCGCGCGGAGCCGCGGTTACGTAATGTTTGCGAATCTTTTCGAGTCTCAAGTGACATAAACATGATGCAACTTATCTCTGTCGCGGTTGGAAGTTCTTCTTCTTCTTCTTTTTCTTCTCCTTTTCTGCTGGTAACAGCGGTTTGTTTGTGCCAGCAGGTTTTCATATCTGTCGAGACGATGTATCAGCAAGGATGAGTGTCTAATGATGAACAACATTAGGAGATATTCTAAACTGAAAGAGAATCAACTGTGGCGACCTTTCAACTACTCGTGCGTCACCCAATGTCCCGATGGTTACGAGGACGCTATCACGAAAAATGTATGACATACAACTTCCTCTTTTCTGCAAATTAAAATCTTATACGGAATGTGTTTATACGTGTGTTTTATTTTTGTATGCGTGTGTGTGTGTGTGTGTGTATGCGTATGCGTATGCGTATGTTTTTCTTTTGTGATTTTTCTTTCGATTTTTCTTCTTTCGAATTACAGGAAACAACCTGTCGGGCTTGTAAGGGTCAGTGCCGCAAAACCGCCAGCGGTGCTATTATACGTCACATGTCGGACGCTCAGAGTTTCCGCGGTATCACGATAGTGAAGGGGGCCTTAGAGTTTCAAATCAGAAACGGAAATCCGAACATAATGAACGAATTGGCGGACGCGTTCGGTATGATCGAGGAGATCACCGAATATCTGAAGATAACGCATTCCTTTCCGATCACGTCGCTGAACTTCTTCAAGAAGCTCAAAGTGATCAAGGGCGAAAATCTGGACATTAACAACGCGAGTTTCGTAGTTCTGGACAATCCGAATCTCTCGTCCCTTTTCCCGCCGTCTCAAAAGATAACGATAGAGAACGGCAGGTTGTTCTTTCATTACAATCCCAAACTCTGTCTGTCCAAGATCGAACAGTTGGGCAAAATGGTGAACATCACGAACTTTACGGATCTCGAAGTGCAACCGGAATCTAACGGTGACAAAGTTGCGTGCAACATCGTTAATATAAACATTACGGTGGTGGTACGGGGTACGGATCACGTGCTCTTAAGTTGGGACAGTTACAAGCCGTTGGAGGGCCAACAGCTTCTTAATTATTTGCTAAATTACATAGAAACCGAAAACGAGAACATAACGTACGAGGCGAACGCTTGCGGCAACAACACGTGGCAGACCCTGGACGTCGGCATACCGAGTTTGAATTCGACCGTATCGAAGAACATCACGAATCTGAAGCCGTACACAATGTACGCCGCTTACGTGAAGACGTTCACGGCGAGAAACAAAAATTCGTTCATGAGTCCGGTGGGTCAGTCGGAAATTATCTTCTTCCGGACGAAGAGCGCGATACCGTCGGTACCGACGAACGTCACCTCGACCGCGATAAGCGAAAGCGAGATCTTGGTCAAGTGGGACCCACCGATGTATCCGAACGGTCCTATTGGTTACTACTTGATTTCCAGTACGATCCGATTGGACGACAAGGAACTAATCGCTTCTCGAGATTACTGCGTCGACACGTTGATCAGCGACATCGAGAAAAAGGAGATACACGATGTGACGATTAAGACGCCATTGATTTCGAGTCCGAATTCGTGCTGTTCCAAAGACGCGAGCGCGAAGATCGGAGCTTCCAAGGAGTTTCAGATCTTCTGCCACGAGAACATGACTATCAGTTACGTGTCGACCGGTTGGAAGGATTACTGCGTTTTCAACAACTACAACACGCCGGACAAATTCTATGACCTAACCAACAGTCTGTCCTCCGCGCAGGAGAAGCAAAAGACAACGGACATTTCGGACAACGAGCTGCTCTTTAACGTTAGCGTTAAGAATCATTCGTATCTCTTGAAGAACCTGCGACATTATTCTCTGTACACCATTACGGTCGCTGCGTGCGGCAGAAAAGTCGACGGCGACACGCAAATGTGCTCATCCATTCAGTACACGAACGTACGGACGAAGAAACGTCCGAATGCGGACGACGTTCACAACGTGAAGGTTCACATCATCAACAACACGATAGTTAAGGTCACATGGGAACCGGTCAAGCATCCGAACGCCTTTACCGTCTCGTACACCGTCGAGTACACGAATCTGGACGTGAAGGATGCGAAGAAGAGCACCGAGTGCATACCGTGCACCATACGCGACGAAAAGTACAATAGTCATTACATTAGAAATCTCAGTCCGGGTCAGTACAGTCTTAGAATGCGTTCAACGTCACTAGCGGGTGACGGTCCTTTTACCGAGGCGATTTATTTCTCCGTCGGTTTAACGGGCAACAATCAGATAGTGGTGGCAACGGTGGTGACTATCATAGTGCTAGTGACCGCCACGATAGCGGCTGTGTTTGTTATTAGGAGCCGTTTGAAGAAGAAGCAGGAACGACTGATAGCCAGCGTGAATCCGGACTACATCGAGACCAAGTACGTGGTCGACAGTTGGGAAGTGCCGAGGGAAAACGTCGAGATTGTGGAGGCGTTCGGTTTGGGTCATTTCGGGATGGTGTATCGGGGATATCTGGACGGTACCATACAAGTGGCCATCAAAACGATCTCCGATAACGCGAGTCAACGGGACAAGCACGAGTTTCTGAACGAAGCGTCGGTGATGAAGAACTTCTCGACGTTTCACATCATCAAGCTGCTGGGTGTGGTCTCGATGGGCAATCCGCCGTTCGTCATAATGGAACTCATGGAGAACGGCGATCTGAAGAACTATCTGCGCAAAATACGCGACACCGACATGGTGCCGGACGCGTCCCGTATAATGAGAATGGCGGCGGAGATCGCCGACGGTATGGCCTATCTGGAGTCGAAGAAATTCGTGCATCGAGATCTGGCGGCGCGCAATTGCATGGTGTCCAAGGATCTGGTCTGCAAGATCGGCGACTTCGGCATGGCGAGGGATATATACGAGACCGATTATTACAAGATCAGCAAGAAGGGCCTGTTGCCGATACGATGGATGGCGCCGGAGTGCCTGTCAGACGGCGTGTTCACGTCCGACACGGATGTTTGGTCGTTCGGCGTCGTGCTTTACGAAATACTCACACTCGCCGAGATACCGTATCAAGGTTTCTCGAACGAGGAGGTGTTGCATCACGTATTGCACAAAGGCGTGCTGAATATACCGCGTAATTGTCCCGAGACGATACAGAAGATAATGGAGAAGTGTTTCAAGTGGCGGCCCAGCGAACGTCCGACTTTCATGGAGATCGTCACCGAGCTGGAGCCGTTTCTTGGCCAGGACTTCTGCGAGAAGTCGTTCTATCACTCGGACGAGGGCATCGAGATACGCAGCCAGGGCGTCAAGAAGGTCTATCACAACGCCGCGCCGATTCGGTTTCACTGGGGTCACGAGACCGGGGCCAGGTGGGTGAAGGGTTTCGACAACGACAACGTGACGCTGCTCGATCAGACGAAAGCGGGCACCAGTCGGGGTCGAATCTTCAAGAACGGCTTTCAACACTTTGGTAATGTAACTAACTTCGAGGATGTTCCGCTCGACCGATGAGATTAGGCGACGTGTAATCGATCAAGAGAAGCGGGTGTAATAAGATAAATTTTCTCGAGAGAAAGAAAAAAACTCTCTTTGGTCACAAAAAAAAAAAAAAACAAATTCGCGAACGACCTGTAGATATTATATAATATGTACAAACAATACTCAGGGCAATACGCGAGTGGTCCGACGACGGGACTTGTCGAACGAAGATTAAAAACAAAAAACAAACAAACAAACAAACAAATGTTACCAAGTCGCTCGCATGCTCGTTTGTTCGTTGGCGGTAAGTGTGTTTCGTGTCCTTGTTGGCACCCGATTGAACATCCGATTGCATCTGATCGGTAGAGCGAATGCGGGTGAAACAATCTCACCTCGCGCGCGCATCGTCCCGACACACAGTGTGTAATAAGAAAGATAGAGAGAGAGAGAGAGAGAGAGAGAGACGGTATAGCAGATGCTAAGCCATCGAACACTATTAGATAAGAAAATAGCATTTTTATCCCACACACCGGAAGCCTCCCTCTGCGGAAGAGCTTATTCCTTTTTAGAACCGTGTTTCTTTTTTCTCAAACACGAATATGAGTCCTTTTTTCCTGCCATGTATATCGTTTATATTCATTCCTTTTCAGAGTTACTTTCTTTTCTATGTCCCTTGTACGGGACATGAACAAGTTCTGAAGCAGCTGTTTTCTTGAACGTGTTATACGCACACACGCTTTAGACGACAATAGTCATTTTTTTCTGCATTTTTATGTATTATTACATTAGCGATAATTTTTCTTTTCTTTTCCGTTCTATTTTTTTTTTTTTTTCGTTTTTCCTCGTCTCTCGAGCGAAGAGATTTGTTTTTAGTCATATCGAGCATTTAATTTACGCACGCGTAAGATTTCGAATTTGCATTTAACAGTTGCGTCGTTAGAAAACGACGACAATGCGCAACCGCGACTACTCTCTCCGCTTTCGGGTAAAGATCGTTACTCGCGCGAAATACATCGCCCTGTACGTACGCACGCACGCAAGCATGCAAGCACGCACGCACGCACGTGTGTACGTACATGACGTGTGTACATACCTAGCGCGTGTCAGTCTTCTCGCAAAACTTGAAGACTATGCTCTATTTTTAGTTTCCGAGTTCAAGAAACGTTGTTTCAGATACTGAATCGAGGCACACACAGAAAATAATGATTTCTACAACGCAGAGTTCCTTGTTCATTAATACGTAATAAGAAGCGTTAATTAACAGCGTAATCTCAAGGTTGTTGTAAATAATTTATTATTTAACGCAGTGTAACAAACAAGTGAATATAGGACTGAATGCAATATATGTACACGCGTAGTCTTATGTACGTATTAACTTATGGAGAGAGAGAGAGAGAGAGAGAGAGAGAGAGTGCGAGTGAGAGAGAGAGAGAGAATGAGAGAGTGATTTTTAAAAGACAACATCCTCGCATGTAAATAAGTCACAAGTCTCTTCCTCAAAAATGCGGGTACCTCGTAGGTAATTATTGCAATAAGAGCGTGTCTACAATCCACGATCCACAATCTTCTTCTAATAAATTTTAATGTGTGACGGGGGTTTGTGTGTGGAGAAAGAGAAAGAGAGAGAGAGAGAGAGAGAGGAAATTAGCCTGTGTATTAAAAAAAAAAAAAAAAGAAAAAAGAAAAAAAAAACGATATAGGAGCCTAACTCGCCTTTTTTCCGCATATATACTATAGTACAGAAAAACTTTTTAAATAAGATTCTTCGAATGTTTAGCCTCGAATTTTGCAGGAATTGGATAAACGTAAACAATCAAGTAGATAGTAAAGAACGACAAACTAGATAGTAGACGAAAACGCAATATTCGTATTTGAAGTCTGTTGGGACGAGTCTTGTTTGGTCGTCGAAGTTATATATACACGGTATATATATAATACATACACTTTATATATATATATATATATATATATACATACATATATGCATACTTGTTGTATATGCAATATGAAACGTCTATGCGATATAAAACATCGACTTCGATGTTTTTATTTTGCATATTTTTAAATGAATTTTTGCACAATTTTGCGTCTGCGAACAATTTCCAATTTTACCGCGATATAATGTATATCAAGACGTATAATTCATATCATATCTTTAATAATAAAGAGAAACAAATAATAACAAACGCAAGTAATAATAATAATAATAATAATAATAATCATATCTCTAATAACGAACAAAAAAAAAAAGATAAAATATCATATCTCAAGTGATAGGAAACGAAAAAAAGCTAATCGCTAGTGTGCGCGAATTAAAAATTTTGTTCGTTGAATTTAAATATTGCGCTTTCTTGTCTTACTTGTATAACGTATAGAATTGCAAGAATTCGAAAACGCACATTTTCGAAAGACACTTTCAAGACTCGTTCCGGCTCGATAGAGATCCGTATCTTTTCAAAACAATTTTTAAAGATTTCATAGACAAACCGTTATATATATATATATAGAGAGAAAGAGAGATAATAGAGAGAGTTGCTTATAACGAAAGAAAGTATAATTGACATTTATTTTATCAAATCCATCCGTGGGTCGACGGACGAGATTAACGTGTAGTAACGTGGTTATCATTTTCAAGCAGGTGATCTTCAGACGTTTATCAGAGTACACAAGGAAATGACAACGCAGTAAAACTGCGAGGAGCGCGTACAAGAACGAGTTTTTTCGGGGCACCGTTTAGGAACTTTTCCCACGTCGTCGCATCGATCGATCGGATTCGCAGACTCGCGTCTTGATAAAGTTAAAAAACACAAAAAAAAAATCTTGATAGTGTGTAATAAAATTTAATTTATATGTATATCAAGGAATAGAGGGGGGAAAAAAATCGAAAACCGTATACGTGTAAATGTAAAAAAAAAAAAAAAAGAAAAAAAAACGTAAAAAATAATTAGACGAATTAGATGTAAAATATTTTGATATAGCGAAACAATGAATTGGAATGAGAAAATTGAACGAATCGCGCGTGTGCGCGAATGTCGAATTCGGATCGACGACACGGCCGATCACGCACAATCGGCGGTCTGGTTTAAAGAGAGTCGATATTGTTTCTGCCCGAAGCGGATTTCACAGCGCGCGGATTATCGCGTCGCGAAACCCGAGGAAACTCGGAAGGAAATCCGACGCGCGAGAGAGAGTCACCTCCACCTTCCGGATCATGTTCGCGTATATTAAGGCTTTCTGTTTCGCGCGATCCTAACGGTCCGAGTAATGACGGGACGGGACGTGTGAACGAGACAGGATTTTGTGTACAGTTAATTAGTAATAAATAATGACCAGTTTGTTCGCGACACGTTCCGCCGCGCGGAAACGGACTCTTTGTGCGCTCTCCCACAGATGATCCCGCGAAAGATGATTGCTCGAAATTTTCAGATCACGAATGTCCCCCGAGCGGGGGAGGCGGATATATATCAGCTGAGAATCTCCACTTTATGTGTCGGGTTGCGACAATCAGCGCGCGCGGCTTACATACGCAGGGCTCACGTACCGCAGCTCGTGGAAGAAGAAGAAGAAAGAGAGAGAGAGAGATACTCGGTTTAAAGCACGCGTGAAATTTTACAGAGATCGGGTTTCTTCTCTTAAAGTTACGATATGATCGTAGGTACTCTTTATTTGTTTGTTTATCTGGGCGTGTGTTTAAAAAAAAATATATATATATATATATATATTTGAAGTACATATTTAACGTTTAAATTGAAAATACTTTACACATAGAAATTATTACGCAAATTAGATTTATATACAATTAGAATACATGTAGAAACTCGCGCGTCCTTTTTACAAAAACAAAAAATTTCAGGCATGTTCTTAAACGATACATATTATTAAAACGATAATAAAAAATAACGCGTGAATAGAGTAGAGAACTTTTTATAATTCGAAATATATGTATACACACATAAATATATTGCATAGCTTTTTTCTTGTGCGTAAAAACAAAAAAAAAACAGTGAAAAATTTATTTATATAAAAAATTATAACCGATTAATACATATATATATATGTATATATCCGCATATGGATGTCTCGAGCGACGAGATTTATATTGATAATTAATCAATAACAACCGTGAAAACGCGCGCTCGAATGTGCGATTTGCTTGAAAAATTTGAAACGTTTACGAATTACATCCACTCCCCCGTCGCGGTTTATTTTACGATGTGAAAGGTACGCTATGATATGACATATCCGTGCGAAAGATTCGTAATTTTAATTAAATTTGTTATATATTTACATTTCGCGCTCTGTCGCATTTGCAGTTTTATTTCGCAATTTTTTTTTTTTTTTTTTTTTTATCGGCTTTGAAAAATTGTGTTTTTTTTTACATTTCGTAAATTTATATCTCAGGGCGCGTTGTAAAAAATTTCAACGTGGATTGACTAGATTCGTTCGGTTACATTTCATTGTTGTAACAAACGTTGAATTAAGGATTTTAAAACTCAGCGGGAAAAAAGAAAACCGTATGTCATGTCATGCGGTGACGAATTTACATAGAGAAAGAGGGAGAGAAAAACACAAAAAATCTACGTTAAAAACACATTAACAATAAAAAATTTTAAAAAAATTAAAAAAAAATAGTAATATATATCACACAATACGGTGTAAATATCACATTGTTCCGCGCGTATTCACACAACAATCGCCGTGATAATATTCCGCGACCGCCAATAACGCGTGTGTCGGAAGAGAAAGCTATAACTCGATCGACCGCGTTCAAACTACATAGCAATACGATTAGCATTCTCCGCTGCGATACATTTTACCATATAACGAGTAGCAGGTACTGATAGCGATTTAATAAGATTTAAAGCCAATTGTAAAACGGTGTAAAACGGTGTAATGCCAAATCGAGATCCTTGTAACGTTTCGTCAAAAACGAGAGGAGTGGCTCGTGTGTCGCTCGCTTGTTTAAAAAAAAAAAAAAAACTTGCGAGTACGTGTGTGGTTTAATTTGAGAATTAAATTAAATTTATTCGAAATTATATGTCCACACACGTGTCGGAATTTATGTGCGAGTCGAATACGAAGTTTTTGCGCACAGACAGAGCGGACAGGTGTGTGTGTGCGCGCGCGCGCACACACACACACATGCACATACACGTGCTGCTACGTGACACGCTCCTGTTCGTCGATGAAACGTTATTAATATCCGTTCTGAAAGTTTCGCCCGGATTTCCTTAATTAAGACGACATTACGACGCGTTTGTTTGTTTTTTTTTTCTTTTTTTGCAATTTAGATTTTAGATATACAACAGTAATAATAATAATAATGACATTCTGCGTGTGTGTAGCAATTTTTGATATTATTGTGAGAATTATTTATAATAATATATACGCGCGTGTAGACACGGTCGAGGTGTCTATCTTAAGTAGTTAAAGTTGATTTCACTACATCGCCCAACACACGTTGTAAGATCCCGCCGCAGCGTCGCCTTGAAGGTAATATATTTAAGTATTTATTCCTATTAGAGTATATGTAATTTTTTTCTTTTTTCTTTTTTTTTTTTTTTAAGACGTTTAAACGTATGTTTTCGCTGTTCCGCACGGCGAAACGCGTCCGTAATGCGTCGCAAACCTATATAGCTATTGTTACATCGTACCGCTTTCCCCCGAGGAGCTCTCCGCTACGAAGATTTCGTTGTTATAATCATCAGGGTCTTTTTAGAAATAGGATACAATATATCACTGACTCGTGTTCCTGCTTTCTTTTCCCGCGAAAGAAAAATCGCTTAATGCAACAACAATTTTCCTTGTCTCTGAGTGATAAATGTCTGTGCGCGCGCGCACACACACGTACACACACGCGCGCGCGCGCGCGATCGTACAAAAGTTTCTTCGTCTCTCTCGACGACCGCCCGTCTCGTCGCGGTGAGTTCTGCATTTGTTATTTATTACATGCACCCGATATTCGAGAAGAGAGGATCTCGTTTGCGTCGAATATTCTATTTACTCGATGTGGTCTCTTCTGAAAGTCTCGGATCGAAAGTGCATTATTGATTCCCCCCTTTTCCCCGAGAAGAAGAGGCGAGAGAGGATAAGAACGTCTTTGATTGATAACCAGTTTCTCTGATAAACAGTTCCTCCTCAGAGTGAATCCTTTCCTCGACAAAAGAAGCGACAGATTACATTTCTCTCAATCATGCGGCCGCAGAAGAAAAAATGAATTCCGTTTTTTAAACGTCCCAAATCGGATTATTTCTATTTTTATAAGGCGGTAACAATGCGCGCGTGCGCGGATATATTCGTCTCTCGTCGAAACTTTCTGCAACAACGCAGCCTCAAGCGAAGTTGTTCTGTTTTTTCCGTTTGTATTTGATCGCCAAATCCGAACCGATTTGTTCTCGGAAGAATCTTCTCGAAGGCGCAGCCGACGACGGGTCGCGAACGAAAGAACGAAAAAAATAAGAAGTAAAACAAAATTGAAAAAAAAAAAAAAAATAAGAACAAAAAACAAGGAGGCTCTAACGGGACGTCCGGCAAGAATGTCTGAGTCATCATCGCATGCCGGCCGAAGGCTGCGACGCGATTCAAGGATTCGCAAGTCGAAGTCAGCACCTCTCTCTCAGTTTTTTCCTACACAAATACGCGTTTTGTTCCTCGATAAAAGATAGGCAGATCGAGCGCACGCGCGCGCGCGCGCGCGCATCACAACCTAGTCAGACTTCGAAAACGCGATTGATCGAACGCGCGTTGTGCATGCGTCACTCACGCTTCAAGTTTTACAGTCGCATCCGCAGGCTCCTTCCGTAAAACTCGCACGTTGTATTATGTGTGTGATGGTTTTTTTTTCTTTTTCCTCTCCGGTAGAAAGTTTTTATTCCGTGTTATTACGTCGTAATTTGCGCGGCGCTTTCACATCTCATATAAAATAACGCTGATGCCGTCAGCGAAATCGTACAATTCTGCAATAAATTACAGGAACGGGCCCGCAAACGGGGAGGACTCGGTTAATTCGAGCGGTTTCGGAACCACTTCCGAACCGCAATCATTCGCCGACGAATCGATCGAGTCTCGTCGAATCCCCGAACGAAATGAGAAAATATCGGACTGGAGATGAACAAAATGAAGATGTGAAATTACAAATTCTCTATAAATAAAATTTACAATTTAATTTTTGTCCGCGAAAAAAAAAAAGATTCGCGCAGAAGTTTCGAAGAAACGCGCTTAAAGTAATTTTACTTACTTTTTTTTTTTTTATCGAAATATATTATTGGACAATCTCTGACACAGAGGAGACGGACTTCTCCGTTTAATCTCAGTCATCTTGATCTGTGCAATTAATTAAAATGTCACACGTCCGCTTCTTAATTATGTTCGTTAAAACACACACTTTTTTACGGTTTGCATTGTTTTTTTCTTCTAACAAAATAAAAAAAAAAAAAAATGATTCCACTTGGCTAGTCGAAAGTCTAGTAACAGGGCAAATTATTTATTCGATCGCGCGAATTGTTGAACAATGCCACGTGTGCGCATTAAGGACAATTGCAGGGTCGCAAACGTTTTTTGTTCTCACACACGACGACGAGAGAGTGTGAACGTTCACTGAGATCTGCCATAATTACATACGTGTATCAGCAATCAATTGTGTGCTCATATATATATATATATGTATAAAAAAAAACTAATACAAAGAAATACTCCTGTTTTAATTGTAATTTGTATTTATTAGGTGCATCGCTCAAGTGTGTTACGAGAAAAATCGCGTTTATTTAATTTTATTTTTTTTTTTTTTCTCGTAGTAAAGTCCTTATTACGGGTGTCCGACGATCTACGTGAAATTGGAGAATTCACAAGACTCTTTTTTGTCGTATCAATCAAACAACAAAACAAGTAATAAGGTACACACATACATATTTTAATAATTCAATATTTAAACAAACGTTGAATGAATTTTGTAAAGTTACGCCGTTTTATTATCTTTATTATAAAATACTTAAAACACAATTACACATTACGTTGTAATTACGTTGTTCGTAACTTGAGCGATTTATTTTACTCGTTTCGAGAGAATTACATCGCTATACAACATGTTCCGCTCATTAGATCAAGTCGATAAGTATTATAATTTATTTGTCGCGTGTAAGCATCTTTTAATTAACTTATTTAATTACCTTGTAGATGATGTAACAATCGAGATAACACCAAAACCAAGCATTAATTATTCAACGCGTTGTAATCTCCGGAAAGATGGCGATATTGGTTGCGCGCGTGTGGGAGAGGCTTTTATATTTTCTACATCGTAAAACACAAGAAAGGAAACTTTTGTAGCTCGTAATTACCGCGTGCGTGCGTGCGCGCGCGCGCATCAACGCACTTGTACATACAACATTAGCAACATTTAAGTAAGAAAAATCGAATAGAATAAGTGTAACACTTGTGTCAAGGATTATATATAGCACATATATATATATGTATATATACATACATATATATATATATATATACACATGCCTTACGAGGCGGAAAACCAATTTCTACGGATTTCCTCGAAGTTCACGCGCGAATGTCGAGCGCACGAGATTATCTATCGCACGTGCGAAAGATAATCCGAAAAGACAGAAAAACGAAAAGAAAGAGAGAGAGAGAGAGAGAGAGAGAGAGAGGAACACATTTTTCTCTCGTTGATTCTCCTCGGTCGTTTTTCTCATTCTGAGAATATAGCGTTGTAAAATAAAACAAAAGAAAAACAACAAACTCGTATACGCTCCCTCCCCCTGACAGCTCAGCCAATTTACTTGTATAATCCCGTAGTATTTTTAGGGCGCCTTGATTTCATGGGGGGGGGGATTAACCGATAATTAATTTATTGTTCTCTCTAAGGTAGGTTGAACTACGAGTCTCGAGTGGTCCAATCAGAACTAACACACTATACAATTAACGGTACCATTAACTGTGCACATATTTTTCACGTACTCTTATCTCGTTACATGCGTAAGCTCTTAATCTGTAATAATAATAAAAAAAAATAATAATAATAATTGCTGCGCGTTGTCTTGTAAACGTTAAGTCGCCGGGAGACGACGGGAGAGACGATCTCCCGCGCCCCCGCTCTGTAAGATATGAATTTCAAGTATTTATTGCAAAACAAAAACAACAACAACAAAAGTTTATCTCCTCGCGCGCGTCGCGTCGCGTGTAAATATAGCACGTTGATTAGGAAATTTACTTCGCGTGCGTGTAAAGTGTAAGCAAACGTACGATTATTAGTTTTTTTTTTTTTATTTTTTTTTATTATTATTATTAACGTGACGTATATCGCGGATTGGAGTGAATGACGGACTAACGCCGTTCTTGAGCACGGTTGGTTTTTTCTCGTTTTTAACCGCGTTTTTCTCTGTGAAAACAACCGCGCACTGCGAAATAAATTTCGGAGAACATGTCATGACGTAAGCGTTGACATAAATCACAAGCCACACCTACACACACACACACACACACACACGCGTATGTGTATTTATGAAGAAAGTCGAACTAACTTTATTTTTTTTTTTTGCAGCATCGTCACTTGTACTCTCTTAATCAATTTCGTTTCCAACGACATATATATACGACGGAGAAACAAACATACAGAGCAAACTGCCATTATTCTTAAGCGTTTTGTTGTTGTTAAGATTCTCGGTAAACAATTGCGATTCAAACAATTCAAACTCCATACTTGCGTGTGGAAGCTATATATATATATATATTTGTTTTTGCAAAAGCTAAAATAAAAACAAAAACAATCAAAGATTGAAACACAGTTTTCACGATTTATTCATCACAGTTCGCACGACTGGACCATGAGCTTCTGCTCTTTCTGATGTCTCATTACAGTTTTTATTTATAAATCCGGAAGTATATATGATTTATTGATTTTTGTTTTTTTTTAAACTTGTATCTCATGTGTGACGACCACTGCGTATTTATTTTGAGTTCTCTCACTTTGTAACGCGTGTTCAAATATCGAGTAATACAAATTCCGTGTGAGTTTTGTGTGCATTTTCACGAAAATGGAAATCAAATGACAAGAGTTCGTGTAATATGGAGGAACATATGTTTCTTGCTGCACGAGTTCTTGATTTACCGTATTTGTACGTCGTTGCCTCTCCGTCGTACCGGACGTGTGTGTACGTTTCTGTCACGGCCTCTTTTTGAAAGTTTCGAATGGCGTAATCCGAAACTCATGTCCCTCCTCTCTCCCTTGAGGTTTTCAAACTATTACCGCTGTAATTCCGACGGATTGGAAATTTTCTCCGACTACGTGTCGAAGCGGAGTAAAATTTCTCGACGGAGAAAATCCGTGTTCTGTCTTTTCCTTTTACGCGTTTCCAAGTTGTGGCATCCTGACGGATATCTTTTTTATTTGATTTTCACCGAGAAGACAGAATCTCCAGAATTTTTGGAAGCAACAGAATTGTGCGTTGCTAGCCTCGAATGCACAGACGGCATTGTCCGTCAATTTGGAAAAACTGTCGTGTTTCCCTAAAAAAAAAAAACAAAAAAACAAAAACTCGTCGGAATTAGATCGGCAGCAATTTCTTGGTCGCTGTGAATCGTGTCGTTGCGATTTGCGCGAGCTGACCCTGAAAGATCCGAAAATACAGTTCGGATTAATCACCGTTTTAATTGCGGTACTGACTGCGTACGACCACACGTGCATCATGTGTAATGTGCACGTGCACGAGAAACTCCAATGGACTGATACTGAAGACTTTAGCTTTAAATTAGCCGTCGCCGCCGTCGTTTTTGATGGTTTTTTTTTTTTTTTTGTTTTTTTTTGTTTTTTCTTTTCTTCCTCTCGCATTGACGAAATATATCGCTCACGGAACGCGCGAAAGATAATATAACATAGCGACGTATATACCAGGTTGTCTCGAAACGTGTAAAACGTGTACGCGGAATGAGTCATTAAGTATTACGGCCTGTAACAACGTGTATTTGATAATATTTTATTAAACACTTCTATTAATATAATTTTACTACGGATTTTACTGCGGTTAAAATTATTATTATTATTATTATTATCGTCATGAAAATATCGAATTTATATAGTGTCACACATATAGCACGTAGAATAATTCATGTACATTCTCTCATTTGCGTAATAAAAATTAAGAGAGATTTAACATTTGTCGCTATAGGTCGTAAAATTATCGTAACTCCGCGCATTCGCGGCAAAGTTGTTTTATTCCTTCAACGAAAACGGATATCTTCTCGGCAAATGGGGATTTCGAATTCTTTATCCCGCAAAATAGCTTTCTCAGAGATAGCTCAACTCTCGACGTATTATTTTCTGTAACCGTATCTGATTTTTTTATTGCAACTTACAACAAAGGAAATTATGTTACTCGAAAAAAATGGCGACACTCGTGGTTAATTTTCGTGTAAAATTGTGTAATGTAATAATAATAATAATGACGATAGCGTTTGAATTGAATGATCGAGAAAGAAGTAAAATGTAAATTATAAAATAAAATAAAATAAAATAAAAAAAAATCAAAATTAAAGTATCACATTGATGTACGTCGTGCATTTTCTTGGGGAACATCTTGCGAAAGATCATCGTTCACGAAAATCGTTCGTAATGTGTGCAAGTGCGAGTCATCTTCGTGCGTTATTAACCTTTTTCATTACTTCGTTTCTTAACGAAACTAAATCTAAACTTCTTAGAAAGGATATTCCATGATTCTACTTATTACATATATATATATGTGTGTGTTGTACTTTTTCATAGGAAGAAAAAAAACAAACACACGTATGTAACGTGTGACTTGAAAGTTTCACGAGAGAAGATGTTAGATAGGATTAAATTTGTAAAATTCGAGGACGAAAGGGATGTTTAATTTACAGATCGCGCGTTAATGGAAATAAGATTAATATTTATTTCGCTCTAATTGGCAAAATTACTTGATTTCGTAGATTAGAGAGTTCTAAGCTGTAAGAAAAAAAAAAAAATGTAACACGACTCTTCGCGCTCTAAGCGTCGCTCTGTCGCTCTGTGAAGTTAAAATTATCTCTTAAGTTAAATTTAAAATATTTTGAATATTTTTCTTATGGGTTTTTTTTCTTATTCTCGTTTGTATTGCAATACTCTCTGTTTAAATCGTTACTCTTGCTCCATCGAAAATAAAAGAGCAATATTTGTGCTCGCGTTTGTGAGAGGCGCTCGAAAGAAATCGCAGAATTGCGAAATATTTTTGACTCTCGATTACAGCGATTGATTTTTAAGAGGCGCTTGAGAGAAATTAACGGAATCAAAATATTGAAAAACGTTTATGTTTGCGCGCAAAGAACATCAACGTCAATCTTCGCAATAGGGTATACGATAGTTTTCTCTTAGTGTTTTTGTTTTCGATTTGCGTAAAAGAACTCGTGCGCGACGCAACAATCTCTCGAACACTAAATCATGTGCAGTTGCAAGTTAATTTACGAACCCTCTCTCTGTTTTACGAGGAGCTTTTGAAATTTATAATGTCTCGATGTCTCGACTGCGCGAAGTGTTGGCAATGATTTACAACGAATCTTCTCAACGAAGACCGCGCACGCCGCAGCTTAGAAAATTAATATTACCGTACGTAAACGTGTGCTGTACGTTAGCTTTCGTCCTTGTAATTTCTCACGTTAATTTGCGAAAATCTAATGGATGTATGTGTGTGCGAAACTCCAACGTTGCGTTACTTCCTCGCGAGTTCTCTTCACGATGTATATACGAATTATTTTTCACGTGCGTAACTTTTACCTTTTTTTTTTTTTTTTTTTTTTTTTTTTTTTTTTTTTTTTTTTTTTTTTTTTTTTTTTACAACTCATGTATGAAGTTAATTACTACACCAATATGTTCGGAGTTTGACTTTTCATTTTTCACAATGTTTGTCGATTATACATTTATACATCGCGGCCGAAATTTTGCGTCGGTTATAATTCTCGTTTGTGTTTGCCGAAGATGATATTTAAACAATTAAATGATAAACACAACAAAACACGTGCTCTCTGTTGCGAGACACATATTATATCGGGATTCGCAAAACAAAATACGCGTTCAGACACACATTTCTGTAAAAAAAGCAGTAAATTTCACACAGAAGTAACGAAAACAATATCTCGTGAAATACTCTCTCTTATCACTGCAAATTTTTATCTCGAATAAACATACAAATACATTATCGTTTATGTATATCCCTCGAGTGAATAAAAACAAACGCCGCTGCATTTACCTGGCCTGGGTCTTCACGGTTTTCCGATATACAACCGCGCGCTTCTAGCATTATTATGGAGGAGCATTATTATGCTCTTTTGCGAGAGAGCGGCAAAATAAATTTGATTCGGAAGGAAAGAAAAACAAAACAAAGAAAACCACCCGGACAAAAGTGTATTTATTTGATTTCCGCGACGAGAGGAAAACCCAAGATCTCGCAATGTAGCAGAGAAAAGGCGTATTCAGACTCTCAAATAAAGAAAAGAGGATATCCTGCCATATGTACTACCGCGTCTTCCATACGAGAAAGACTATGAACATCGTCTCAACGTTTACGTGTCTCTGCGTAATAACCCGTGAGTTAAATTATATTAAATTATTCATTATATACCGTTTAAAAGCGAGAGGAGAGAGAGAGAGAGAGAGTGCGCGATAACGTGTGACGAAATTAATGAAACGCGTGTATGTGTGTGCGCTCGCGCGCGCGTGTGTGTGTGTGTGTGAGTATATGACGAACACTTTCATCCGCACTCTGTAACTTGTTACTACATTCTGTAATATATGTATATGTATATTTTTTAGTAGCTAAGATAACAATATTCGGATATTATATAAAAAAAAAAAAAAAAAAAATTACACACGGCGGAGAAATTACGAGGACGGGAGATGAGATTTGTCGATCTCTTTACACTTGCGTTCGTCCTCCTTGCGTACCAATAAATCATCTTCATTGATACACACACACTTTCCGCGAAAACAAAACACACGCGTTTTCTTATCTCGACTCTCGGAACTTTTTGTTTTGAGAGGGAAAACTGTTCGCGCGCGCGCGAAAACGCGCGTCGTCGAAGCTCCGGAAGATCCGGAGATGCGAGATAAGAGGAAACAAAAACAAAACAGAACAAGAAAAATTACACGAGCGTGTTACAATAGACATTTGATGTAATCGCTCCGTAAAATCGGCGCGAATCCCCCCGCGTGGGTTTTTCTTCCGCGCGGGTCCCACGCTGTAAAACACACATGTACATACACCGCACTAATTTTAGTATTGCCGCTAAGTATTACAACTAGTCACATAAGCCAAAAGTTTGTTACTCTCGCAAAAGTTTTCTTTTTTTCAGTTTTGTAAAATAAAGGAGGATGATAAAAACCCCAAAAAAGAAACCTCGCGTGTGAGCGCGTGCGCAATTTCTTTATTCTTCAAATCTCTTCCCGCCTTTCATATTTTTTTTCCTCGTCAGGCGTAGATTGCGTTACGAAATAAGAGATAGATAGATAGAGAGAGAGAGATAGCGTTTCTCTCGGTGTTTAAATAATGGCAGTGAAATTTTATTAACGCGTTCACCCGCCGCAAAATTGTGAACCAAACAAAAAATTAAATCAATTAAATTGATGCGACGAATATTTGATGCAAATTAAGCATTTCGCGATATGAAGAAAATAATTGTGGCAATGTGTGTTTGATATTTTTTACATTTTTTTTCGCGTTGAGTATAAAAATCGCGACGCGTCAGAAACGTCACACACACACGGCGGTGATTTTCTTTGTTTCAGCCGAGAGCTATTTAGGGCATCCTGCAGTTTTTTTTTTTTTTTTTTTTTTTTTTT